CTGGAACCTGCTAGCCTTGTGCTCCTCCTGGGGAGGTGGGCATCTTTGTGTGGGTAGGGCTGCTCTCCGTCTTCTCCCGGTGGTGGCAGGGGTGGCTCCCCGGGGCTGGGGTGGGTGAGCCAGCCAGATGGAAGGACTATTTATTCCCCTCTTTCATACCCCCTCGGCATTTAGAAACTCTTTCCGGACCACGTTAATTTCGTTGCATGTTGTTTGATAAACCCTTTCCTTATGTGTGCCATGTGAACTTTTTGATGGGCCAGGGCATTGGTTTTTAAATTTTTTTGTATATTGACATGTTTCCAGAACCTTGTATACAGTCAGTATTGTTTAAGTGCCTTATTACCTACTGCAAACCTATCACCTGACAGCCGAGCAAGGCAAGCTGTTGAGCTAAGCTCCTGGGAAGGGACAGGGATACTTCAGGGGAAAAGGAGAATGGGAAAGTTGTGGAAGAGAGAGAGGCACGTGATGCTCTTCCTTGAACACTGGAGCTTCTCCTCATATTTATAATTCAGATCAGACCAGTAGAGCTGCATGAATCCCAATTCTCTTACTTGCCAATGGGAAACCTCATTCAGGCATGGCTGGATCCAGGTGCTCAGGCCAGCTCTCAACTCTGCTTTTCCCCATGCTGCCCTGCATGGTACCAAGATGGCCACCTGCATCTCCCAACTTACAGTCTCTCACCCTGCTATTTAAGCTCTTTGGCTCCCCAGTCATCCAGTCACTGTGGGTCAATGGGGTCTAATGCTCAGATTGACCAGGCCTGGGTCATATGCTTCAACCCACCCCTGGACTCAGTTCCATGTGAATACTTGGGTTAGGGGTGTGGCAGGGGAGGATTTTCCAAAAGAAAACCGGGGTGCTTTTACCAACAGACGGGAACACATGCTCAGTCCCTGCCCCCTGAACCCAATCATCCAGTCACTGTGGGTCAATGGGGTCTAATGCTCAGATTGACCAGGCCTGGGTCATATGCTTCAACCCACCCCTGGACTCAGTTCCATGTGAATACTTGGGTTAGGGGTGTGGCAGGGGAGGATTTTCCAAAAGAAAACCGGGGTGCTTTTACCAACAGACGGGAACACATGCTCAGTCCCTGCCCCCTTTTTTGAGTGTTAGATAGTCTCAAGAAATTCCTTAATTTTCCTCTGTTATCCCCAGAGGCCACTGTAGTACAGGCTGGGCACATTTATTCTTCATGTGTCTGTTGGGAGCAATATAGCAAACCCCCCTTATCCACAGTTTTACTTTCTGAGGTTTCAGTTACCCACAGTCAACTGCAGTCCAAAAATATTAAATGGAAAATTCCAGAAATAAGTCATAAATTCTAAAATTGTGTGCTGTTCTGAGTAGCATGAGGAAATCTCACACAGTCCCGCTCCATCCCACTTGGGGCATGAAGCGTCTCTGTGCTGTACGCGCTGCCTGCCTCTTCATCACTTAGCAGCCATCTCAGTTATCAGATGACTGTCAAGGTATCACAGTACTTGTGTGCAAGTAACCCTTATTTTACTTAATACTGCTACGTTCACATAACTTTCATTACAATATATTGCCATAATTTGTTCTATTTTATTATTGTTGTTGTTACTCTTTTACTGCGACAAATTTGTAAATTAAACTTTATCGTAGGTATATATATAAGAAAAAAGCATGATTTATATAGGGTTCAGTACTATCCACGGTTTCAGGCATCTGCCAGGGTCTTGGGAGGGACGCCCGTGGGTGAGGGGGCGTGGCTGTATAGTGTGGTAGTTCAGAACTGGGGTCGGTCAGCAAACTACAGCTCTTGAGCCGAATCTAGGCACAGTCTATTTTTTCAAATAAAGTGTTTTGGGGACACAGCCATCCCCATTTGTTCAGGTATTATCCATGGCTGCTTTCAAGCTAAAATGGGACAGCTGAATATCATAAGCAATATTGAGACCACGTGACTGGCAAAGCCGAAAATATTTACTTTCTACAGGAAACATTGGCTCATCCCTGATTTAGAGCAAGGCCCCTGGAACCGTGCTGCTGGGGTTCAGATCTAGGCTCTGCAGCCCTCTAGCTGTGTGACCTTGGGCAAATGGCTTACAGACTCGTGCCTCGGTTTCCCCCCAGGGTTCCTGTGAGGACTAAATGAGCAAATAAATGCACTGAAGCACTTGGAGTGGCACTCGGTCTGTAAGTGACATGGCACCGAGGGTGAGGGCACCGATAGGGATGGGGGCAGTGCAGCCATGGGTGAGGAAGGCGTTCTGTCCCAACTATTGAATGTCCTGCGAGACACCAAGGCTCCAGGCCCCGTGTTCTGCTTCATCCAGCTGACAGCTAAGTTCACTAGCTTATGGAGAAGCTGAATCTCACCGTGTGAATGGTTCCAGCGCTGCCGCTGCCGGGGTGTGAGGATAAATGCACGGTTTAGATCATATCGCTCAAACGGGTAGAAATGTGGCTTGGCGAACCTCTTAGCACCAGGGCCGCGCCAGGGAGGCCCAGGGCAGGAAATTTAAGGAGGCCCTCACTCTCGGCTTCGTGCATTTGCAGGGCACCTGGGAGGGAGCTCCTCCTTAAATATCGCTCCCTGGATGCCTCTCTTGCACTACTCCGTCCCAGCCCTGCACCAAGTCCAGCACAGCCTGCTGACTCCAGCAGTGGAACACGTGGCAGTTTCTTTGTTTGATTACCAGGCGACACAGGTGACTTGCTTCTAGGGGTCATGAGGGACGAAACACTCACTTGGGAGGAGGTGTGAGTCATCTTCACAGCAGTTCTGTGATGAAGGTGTCATTAGTGCCACTTTAACAGATGCGGGACTCGCCCAGGGTTGCATGGGGAATAAGCATCAGAGTTCCAGGAATCAAACTGGTCTGCCTGAGTCTAGAACCCAGGCCCTTCACCACACATTAGCAACTCTAATAGAACCACAAAAAATATATATGACAAGTGCCCGAAGGAGGATTAGCAATTAGGACTCAGCTCAGCTACACGGAACTGACACTGGACACTGGGCTTAAAGACTTTTTTTTTTTTTCCTCTCACATGAACAGGGCATTTGGAGGCAGCCAGGGGCCCAGGCTCCTCCTTATTTTCCACAGGGTCATCCTTCTTGTGTGGCTTTCTTCCTTATTCTCACAAGGTGGCTGCTCTGCACCCAAATATATCACATCCACATTCCATCAGGAAGAAGGGTAGAAGGATAAAGGGCAGAAGTCCTGTGTCACTGAGTGAGTCCTGGCTAGCAAGAAAACAGTGGCTTTCTTAGCTCTACCTGCAGACTTCCAGCTACTCACATCTGGCTCACAGGGCCATCCCTAGCTGTAAGGGCCACTAGCAGTGCGACTGTCTTAAAGAGACACACTACTACCTCAACAGTTGGGTTCTGTTAGTAAGGATGGAGAGGACAGTGGATAGCTACTGGGTGGGCAGAGTGTCTCCACATCTTAGTTAGGATTCGGATACATGGAGAAGATTTGGGAGAATGGCATTAAGGCTGAGAGAACAGCATAAGCAAAGGCATAGAGGTGAGGGAGTTTAGGACACGGGCAAGGGTCAGGACTGTCACAAATAACAAACCCTATTCACAATGGCTTACGTGAAAAAGGAAGTTTCAGCAGTGTCTTGCTTCAGGCATGGCTGGTTCCAAGGACCCATCGGGACTCTGCTTCAGTCTTTCAGCTCTCTTTACCTCTGTTTTGGGGCACGATGGTCCCTGGCTTAGCACCCCTGCAGGAAGGGAGCACCTCTTCCCCACAGCTCTAGCCAGAATCCTAAGGCTACTCTCATCGGCTGCCGTAGGTCCATTCCCATCCCTGAACCAGCTGGCCAGGGCATGTAGTGATGGGTAGAATGGGCTGATTGGCCAGTCCCAAGTCACATTCCTGCCCTTGGGCCACATGTGAACTGAGAGGGGGATGTTTCCCAAAGCACAGGGAATGGATGCTGAACTGAAAAAAATACAGATACTCGGGGTACAGAAAGCAGTTCTGCTTGGCCCAGCGGTCGGGTGTGTGACTACATGTGCAGGAATCAACGCAGGAAGGATGGCCTGGGACCAGAGTGTAGAGAACTGTGCATGCCAGGTGCATCACTTAGGGTACAGGTTTGGCTGCTGAAACAGGGAGACCCAAATAACAGTGACTTGAACAACATGGAAGTTGATATCTCTGACACAGCACCTCAGCGGCGAGCAGTCACCCTGCTCCGAGAGGTCGTGGAAGAACCCGGGCGCTAACTCTTTTGTCGCACCACCGTCCTCCGGACGTTGCTTCCTCCCATAGTCCTCGGCAGCTCGCCACCTCCGCCATTCCAGTTGGGCAAGGGGCGTGTGTCCCCTTCCCTTTATGGGCACACTCCTCCTCCCCTACACCTCACTGGCCAGAATGTGTTCACATGGTCCCCCCAGCTGCAAGAGAAGCTGGGAACGCCATGCGCACATCTGGAAAGGCAATACAAGGGAAGAAGGGGAAATGGACACTGGGGGACAGCCTGCAGTCTGCCATACCAGGCCAAGGGGTGGCTTTCCCAGAGAATGATCCAAGGAATGCTAAGAGGAAGAGAGGCCCTACCACACACACTTTCCATGGCCCAAAAAGTGAGCAATGCTGCATCCTGTGTTTTATTTTAAGCTGTCCATGTGTGTGTGGTGGGTAGAAGGGGGGCGTATTAAAGGCCCCAAGAAGTCTTAAAGGAAAGCCCCAGGGTTTCTTAAACTTATTTTATCACAGAGCTATCTGGGAAGGTTAACACCTACTGAAATTCTGCTGAAGAGTTCCTAAAAAATTCTAGCAACCCACTTTGGGCTGTAGGAGCTGGTAAAGACTTTAGAGCCGAGGCGGCTTGAGCCCTCCAGGCTGGCCTGCATGAGATCATGCCGGGTCAGTGTGCGGGACAGCATGACTGCAGTTGTGCACATGCCCCTGCCTTGCAGGAAGCCCCTAACGTGCTCACCCCCAGACGAGTCAAGATGTTCGTACTACTGTATCTGAAACAGCCTGAATTCTTGTGTATAGAAATCTGTGCAGATCAGAACAGAAGCTGGTCCTCGGCTCCACATCGAACCTCCTCTGGACTATTCTGAAGATTTTGAGCCATGTGGGAATGTGACTGTCAAGGCAAAGGACGCTTCTGGGGATTGTCCACAGGTAGGACTGGCCTTGGCTCAGTGCTTTTGGGACACTCTGTCATTTATTCCTTCCTTCCTTGGGAAAAGAGTCCTTTTCTGTGGAATGACTCAAATGACCTTATTTCCCTGTCCCGTCCATAGAAATGGGGTTTTACAGGAGACAAAACTGTGTCCTTTATTGCCTTTAACACCCACCTCCTTATAACACGTACACACATGTACGCTTTCGAATCATCCCAGCGGTCCTCTGCTCAGGATGAGGCTGCACAAACAGTGGTGAGTTTCTCTGAGTCTGAGAGGCTGGTGTATAGCCAAGTTCAGCATGTTATAGTCCCAGCCCCACCCCATGTCACAGAATACATGCATGCCCTTCAAGCAAAGAGGCATGGTAGTTCCCTCTTCTCCTTTGACCATTTGGTACCACCTGTTACATGAACACGTATTCCTTCCTTTGCAAGCTCCCAAGCTCCCTGCAGCGGGGCTGCCTGTCCCTCACAAGCCATTAAGCTCCATTAATATTCCTGTGTGCGCGTGCTCGGAATGAGCAGCGCCCTGCTCCGCCAGCACTGAATTTTCTCCACTGTGAGTGCTTGATTGTATTTCTTTCTTTCTTTTTTTCTCCCCATCTTGAGGGGGTACTCCGTAACTCTTCACAGTCAATTTCCCTTCAGAGT